CATGGAAGTTGTCATTTGCTTTTCGGAAACTGGGTTTTATATTTATTTCTTTTCGTCACCAATCAGGATTAACAATTTGGTCTTATTGACTATCTGTCAGATAGTATTTATACACGGAAGATAGGAAAACCATAGCATCCAATCCAAAATCTAAAGGACACATGCTACATCCAATTTTCTCTCAGAAAATAAAAAAAAAAATCATAAATTATCATTAAGTAATAGTCACTAAAAACCAGTGATGTACTAAATGCCGGGTGAGTTAGACAAAGTTAAATTTGAAAAAAGTATTTTATTTTAATATTTACCCATTAACTTAAAAACTAAGAGCCAATTACATTCTCTATGGCTATTATAGTTGCCATGTGTTTGATGCTGCTACCTCTACAGCAGTGATGATTCCCAATACCACTGCTGACCGGTCAGTTTTTATTATGAGCCAGAAGAGTACAGAAATAGACACAATTTGAAAGTTAGGTCCTAATACATCCCCATGTTATAGCTAAAGAAATCACTTTGGCAAGTTATTTAACCTCTGTGTGCCTCAGTTTCTCATCTCTAAAAATGGAGCTAATAATAGTACTAACCAACACCATTATTGTGAGAACTAAATGAGTTAATGCAAATAAAGTGCTTAAAACAATGGCTGATACACAATAAACTGCACATGCATGAGCTATCGTCGTGTCTATGTTTTCACATGCATTTATTCCACAAACAGTTTAGATCACCTATCCTAGGTCCTGGGAATCATTAGTACCTAAGGCACACACTGAGAATTAGACCAATCACCACAAATGAACACATCAGGAAGGAGATGTTCTCAGATGGGATGCCCTGGGGTGGGGGTGGGGGGCTGGAAAAGGCCTCACTGACATTCCAGGTGACACAGGAAAGGTGAGGAGGAGTCCATAAGGCAGAGCAGCAGGAAGAGTACCCTAAAGAAAGAAAAAGAGCAAGTGCCACAGCCCTGCAACGGGAATAACCCGGGTTTATTTAAAGAACAGCAAGCAGGCCCGTGAGGCTGGTCATCGGTGAAAGCTGGGTGTTCACCTCTGCATCTAAAATGCCATGAGGTTATTAAACAACTTTATCCCTAAAATAACTAGTTAAGAATCCAGGCTTTGGGACCAGAGAGGCTGAGTTGGAATCCAGCTTGGTCACTTCCTAAAGATGGGTTGTGAGTTGGCTATCTCTTCTCTGGACATGGCTTCCTCATCTGTAAAATGGAAGTGACAGTATCTACTGCAAGAGCAGCTACAAGGCTTTAAAGGAGAGGACGATCATCTCAAATGTTTAGGAGAATGTATGGCAGACAAAAAAAAAAAACTGCTAAATGAATGGTAGGTGGTCTTGAAAGTAATCTTTAAGAGACTATAAATAAATAAATAAATAAATAAATAAGCAAATAAATACCCTCCATTTTGTTTGAGTCACATCAATATAAATAAACTGTATCCCAGCTGATCTGATGCTTTTTCAGATATATAAGTACAGAAATTCCATTACAGTGTTCCTTTGTCAAGAAAAGCCAATGAATCCCCAGCTCAATCTTTCTGGCCCACAGAAAAGATGAGGGAATTGCTTTTCAGGTTCTCTCCTTGACTTTTCTATAATATTTGGGATGACAGTCCAAATCTCCTCCTAGAAATTCTTTCCTCTCTTGACTTGAGGACATGATTCTCTGTCCTTTTCCCATTTATCTAACTGTTCCTTCTCTACCTCGGATACCTCCTGTTCTTCCCATCTTCTAAAAATGTCACCAGTTCCTAATGTTTAGCCACGCCCCTCTTACCCACAGTACCTCCTCGGATGCTTCCCTGCTTCCAGAGGTACTCACAGCGCTAAATCAGATTCTTGATGTGACACTTACCTCATTATACTATGTATTATAGTAAATTATGTCTTATCTCCCCTATTGGATGGGTAAATTCTTGAGAGCAGGATTGACAGCTTAATCATCTTTCTTTCTCCCTGAAGACCTAACAAAATCTCTTGAACATAGTCACTGCTATAAGTAACTAAGTGGATAGCATATAAAATACTTTTAACAGATTTTTAACATTAAAACAGACCCTTACAAACACTGTGGGAAATTTTCCTATCTCTCTCAAATTAGCTTATGATTTGTAACAAGGAATAAGAGATACTGTATGTACATTTTACCTAAGTTTTCCTATTATGAATATTAATATATCCATTTTCAACTGACATGCTAAAAATTATAACAGCACTTACTATGTGCCCATTCTAAGAGTGTATATGCACTAATTCACTCTATCCTCCCATCAACCCTTTGTTTTAGGTACTCTCTTTATATTTTTCATTTCATGAATGAGGCGATAAGGCAAACAGTTAAAGGACTTAGTCAAGGTCACAGAGCTGGACAAGGCAAAGCTAAGATTTGAACCCAGGCAGCTTAGTCTCAGTCTGTGCTTGTAATCCCAAATCTTACCTAAATAGCCATTCACTATAAAAATCTAAATCTACATAAGTATTTTTGAACTTATTTAGAACTTTTTATGGAAACTTGTTATTTATAAGTAATATAAACAAATATATCTGTATTAACTACATCAAAGGCATGACTAAAGTACACATATATAATTTACTAATGCATATTTCATTATGTCACTTTTGCATTAAATATTACAATATTTTAGGCTATTTTATCCTACTTCTGGATGCTTACATGAAATCTTCTTGACTATCTTGTGAAATTTGTATTTCCATATAGATTTTTTGTATTCTGTATTGATTTTTTAAAGACTTTTCAAGGATTTTTAGAGAGAGAGGAAGGGAGAGGGAAAGCAAGAGAAACTAAAAATACTCGTAAGTATGTAAGATAAATCATACTAAGGCTACTTAGCTCTAGGTGGCACAGAGTACAACCACAATAACGTTATAATCCTGTTGAAAATGACAATTTAATATATGATGATAGGTTTTTAAGGACTATATTTAACCTTAATTTCTTATCACTAGAGAATAATCTCTACTATTACAAAGTCTACGCAATTTTCAGATGTTGTTATACTTTAAGCTTTTAGTTTAATAACCCAAACATGGTGACGGAAAATCCTACTATTAAAATGCAAAGTGAGCCCTAACCGGTTTGGCTCAGCGGATAGAGCGTTGGCCTGCGGACTCAAGGGTCCCAGGTTTGATTCCAGTCAAGGGCATGTACCTGGGTTGCAGCACATCCCCAGTGGGGAGTGTGCAGGAGGCAGCTGATCGATGTTTCTCTCTCATCGATGTTTCTAACTCTCTGTCTCTCTCCCTTCCTCTCTGTAAAAAATCAATAAAATACATTTTTTAAAAAATGCAAAGTGAAATTTTAATCAACAAAATTCTTAAAATGTGATTAGCCACTGTCAGTAGGCCTGATTTCTCAGCAGTTTTTGTTTTGTTTTGTCTTGGAGTATTTTTGTTTTTTGTTGTGTTGTTTTCTTGCAGCCAAGAAAGTAAGGATTTATTAAGCAGATGGTCCCATGCCCAGAGTCACAGATAGCTAATGCTTAAAGACCTGGCTCCTCAGTAATTAATTTTTTATTTTTTATAAATATATTTTATTGATTTTTTACAGAAAGGAAGGGAGAGAGATAGAGAGTCAGAAACATTGATGAGAGAGAAACATAGACCAGCTGCCTCCTGCACACCCCCCACTGGGGATGTGCCCGCAACCAAGGTACATGCCCTTGACCGGAATCGAACCTGGGACCCCTCAGTCCACAGGCTGACAATCTATCCACCGAGCCAACCCAGCTAGGGCAATTTTTTAAATTATTGTTATTATTTTATGGATTTCAGAGAGGAAGAGAGAGGGAGAGAGAAACAGAAACATCAATGATGAGAGAGAATCATTGACTGGCTGCTTCCTGCACACACCCTACTCGGGATCGAGCGTGCAACCTGGACATGTGCCCTTGACTGGAATGGAACCAGGGACCCTTCAGTCTGCAGGCCAACGCTCTATCCATTGAGCCAAGCCATCTAGGGCAATAATTAATTTTTGAAGAAAAATTATTTCAGTCTTTGCCTGACCAGAAGTAAAAAACATCCAAGAGTCCTAACCGGTTTGGCTCAGTGGATAGAGCGTCGGCCTGCAGACTGAAAGGTCCCAGGTTCGATTCTGGTCAAGGGCATGTACCTTGGTTCCGGGCACATCCCCAGTAGGAGGTGTGCAGGAGGCAGCTGATTGATGTATCTCTCTCATCGATGTTTCTAACTCTCTATCCCTCTCCCTTCCTCTCTGTAGAAAAATCAATAAAATTTATTTTTTTTAAAAATCCAAGAATGTTCAAAACTAAAATCCTATCAACTTGAACTATAAAAGTAAACTTCTCAAATGAGACATTTGTTTGCCCTCTTTAAGAGTGTAAAGTTCATGTACATATCTTAGATGCCAAAAGGCTCATTCCCCAGGTTCTTGCACTTGCTGTTCGCATAGCTAGAAAAGAATCTACACCCAGATTTTTTTCCACAACCTGCCCCTTTCCATCATTCAGGCTCAACTCGAATGTCTCCACCTAGCAAGGCGTTGCCTGGCCAGCCCGTCCAAAGAAACCCTCTGTTAGGGGTTGAATTGTGTCCCTCAAAAAGATGTGAAGTCTTAACCCCCCAAATCTCAGAATGTTGTTGCAAGGTAATTAGTTAAGAGGTCAGCCCTTAATCCATTGTGACTGGTGTCTTTATATGAAGAGAATACACACAGACAACGGCTCGAAGGAGAAACAGGTGAAGGAGGCAGAGATTGGATTTATGCTACCACACGCCAAGGAATTCCTGCAGCTGCAGAAGGAAGAAGAGGCAAGGAAGGATCCATCTTGATTTTGGATTTCTGGCCTCCAGCACTGTGTGAGAATACATTTCTACCATTTTGCGCCACACCGTTCATGGTACTTTGTTACAGCAGCCCCAGGACACCAACATACCCACAACAACATAACTGCCCTTGCCCCATCGGTCACCTTTACTGCTGCCATCGTTTTTACTAGTACCTGAAACAGCAATGTGCTTTTTACTGGTTGTCTCCATTCATTAGAATGTCAGTTCTCAGAGAGCAGGTCCTTTTCCGACTTCAAAGCAGAGCCTGGAATATGTAGTACATGCTCAAGAAATAGTCTGTGCAATAAATGAGTGATCCTGAGAATGATAATCAGATAAAAGAATATCAGAATGATAATTCATTTCCAGTAACTGGAACAGCTATAAACCCTCCTATAATCTAATAACAAAGTCTAGTACCAGATTTATCTAACACTGAGCGAGACTTCGCACCATCTTAACTGTCTGGAAAACAAACCTCGGAGATAAAGAAAAACAGCTTCAGCAAAATGCATTCCTTACTCACTACTTCCAAGACGTGGCTGAAATAACATTACTTTTTGAACTAATATTTTCTATGTGTCGGGAGAGGGCTCATCTCATGGAAATGCAGTAGAAGCCTGATGCAGGAGAAAGCAAAAGATCTTCAAGGAAAACAAGTGAAAAGAAAAGAATTCTGAGGTTATTTGGTAAAGGAGCAGCTGGTGTTGCCCCACCGCCAAAGCCATCTTTAAGGGAGGCATGAGCACTCTTAGCCGGAGTCACCGGCAACACATTAGGGGGCCCTCTGGTGTTGGGGTCTCTGTGAGCAATTTTTAAAGTGAAATACATAAAACATTCTAGAGAGATTTCCATTTTTTAAAAAAATATCTTTATTGATTTCAGAGAGGAAGGGAGAGGGAGAGAGAGATAGAAACATCAATGATGAGAATCATTGATCAGTTGCCTCCCGCATGCCCTACACAGCAGATAGAGCCCAACACCCAGGCATGTGCCCTGACGGGGAATGGAACTGTGACCTCCTGCTTCATAGATGGATGCTCAACCATTGACTATTAAAAACAACTAACTGTAACAAAATTGTACATTTGTTTTTCATGTCCAAGGCACTTCCGAATTTGATAGCCCCACAAGGCAGGTGAGCAAGAAATCAGCTAGGGCTGAACAAGTCGAAAGCTAAATGTAGTCATTTTGGTTTACTGGTCATTTGTTTTCTAGGTAAATAGAAGTTTCATTAATGATTGATAATTGCACTTTGTCTCTAAGTACTAAGTTAGAAAACTCATTTCAACAACCACCATTTTACCCTCATTTAGCAGATGAGGCTTCCCGAGTGTACAGGGTGGCTGCTCAGTAAGTGGAGAAGCTGGGACAGAACTTGCGCAGCCATGGTCCCTATCCAGGGCTCTTCCTGTCAAATATATACTGCTTCTCTGGAACACCGTGTACTGTGATACAAAGTGCCATGAGATAGTAGCTATTTTCACAGAGGGGTGTATGGGCGGGGGGGGGGGGGGG